CCCCAAATCGGTAGCACCTCAACGCCGTTCTCGACCGAGATTCCTCCAGCTCCCTGATGAGGTCCAACGCAACATCATGGTCCATTTGAGGGCATCCTGCTTCAACCCTAAGGTCAATGTTGCCCTTGACCGGATGCTCCAAGGTGCACGCTTCTCCCATCCATTCGATTCGACATCCCAAATCGCGAACGAGTCTTCCGGCCGGGACGATCGGCTCCACGTTCTCACTGTTGTGGACCAGCGTCTCCCCTTCTGTCATTCGGATGTCTTGTGCTCCTCCAGCAGCCAACGTCACCCTCACCTGGCGATATCTCTGAAGATCTTCTCCTCGGAGCTTGGGCCTCAGAGCGTGCGTTGCCCCAGAATGCAGAAGTCCTTCTCGACCTTGTTGGACTCGAGCTATCTTGACTGCCCGTAGCTCTGGGCCACCTTTCTCCCACGCTCGATTCAGCTTCTTCAACGTCGCACCAAGGTCCGTTGCACGATCTTGCCCTTCTTCTTCGAGGTTCATGCCCTTGAGCAACTTGTGCGCCTCATCAAGCACATTCTTGATCGGGTCTGCAGTTTTTGTCGCTGCATCCGATACCGCCTCCGAAGTCACCGACTGCGAGGATGCTGCTTGAGGAGAGATTGAAGCCCCCGACTCACTCCGCGAGGTCACATTTCCACCACCACCAGTCTTGTCCAGCAGCTTCTGAAGCTTCGGTTTCTGGCCAGATGGAGGTCCTTCTCCCTTCTTTGCCGTCTCTTTCCTCGGACAGTCTCGAGCCAGATGTTGTGTGGCCCCGCACGTAAAGCACCTTCTCTCCTGGTTCTGCTTGTCGCCAGTCTCCAGTTGATGTGCCCATTTGCACGACTGCCCTCTTCGACATCCAGATTCCGTGAGGAAGTATCGACAAGGACCCTTCGCCGATGTCGTTGGTGAGTCCCCCTTCTTCTCTCGATCTTCCCCTTGTAGTGCCTTTACTGCCAATGGTCCACCTCCCTGATTTCCAGGCCTCGTAGTGCTCGAAGACGGTCGGACTCGGTGCATGAGTTGTTCAAGTTCAGCAAGTAAATGCTCAGCATACGTCCGAACAGTCTCCTCATTGGGGATGGTATCAAGCTGCAAGGTGTTTTTGACCAAGGCACATCTGAATTGCAGATCCGGTTGTTGAGTGAGGATCCGCTTGCTGAGTTTGCTGATGCCCTTCATGAGGATGATCGCATCAGGAAGATTCAGGCCAATGTCGGTGGCCCTCCTTAGCCAGCGCATCCAGCGTCGGAGCCCCATGCAGGCTTCGCTTGGCGACCCTGCTTCTGGCGGATCTTCAAGTTGCCGCAGGATGATGGTGCGCTCATGAGCACCACCTGGTTGATAGAGGACCATGAGTTTGCTCACCAGCCCCAGCGGCGACAAAGTCCTCGTAGCTACCAGTTCCTCCTTCACTGTCGTGGGAACTGAAGAAAGCAGCATGCTGATGGCCCTCTTTTCCACTCGAGCCCACTTCGGTTTTTGCAACTCAGCAGACGGCTCGATCTTGGATGATGCCCGCTGAATTGGACGAAGCTTGATGTACTGTTTGTACCAAGCCCTTGCTTCGCTCACCACCAACTCCCACCACTCGCCTGACGAGTCACTAAGGTCTGTCATAGCCGGTTCCACCATAGTGAGCCAGTCAGCAAGGTCGATGGGAGCCGTATCGGATGGCTCTGCCAGGACTGGGAGTGTGGCCGTCCCCGGCTTGACCGACTCCGGTCCTTCTTGCTTCTTGTCCTTGTCGACCAGGTAGGTGATCAGCATAGACATCGCATCAGCCATGCCACCACCGTGCTCTCTTGATGGGTCCTCCCGAACATTTGCAGTTGAAGATCGACCAGGCTGCTCGGCTGTGGCTTTCTTCTTTGGCTGACCCACGCCTTTCCCGGTCCCTTGTCTTCCTTCTGGTTCGAAGCCCTTCGCCCGAGATGCCACCAAGCCCTCAGGTTGACCTCCTCCCTGACGTGCAGTTCTCGGACCTTGAGATCTCGACCTCTCTCGTTGTCCTTGCCCCCGACCACCTCGCTTTGCTGGCGCCGGAGTGACCGTCCCCATCAAGGATTGGAGCTGCTCGAACTGCTGCATGGGAGTCAACTCATACAGCCGGCGTCTTTCCACCTCCAAATCTGTCTCTCTCGGAGGCTCGTCGACCGTCAATTCCAGCTGACGATTCACAGGCTCATCGCTTTCTGGCGTTCTGAAAGCCTGCTGCTCCAGCTCACGTTGTAGGTCATGGACTTTGGCTTCCAGGCTTGCCCTTTGGTACTTCATGGCGTCCATGAGCTCTGCCTGCTGAATCTGCAGTTGTTGATTCTCCTGTTTCAACATCGCCAACATGGTCATCATCTCCTGTGGATTCGGCGGACCAGGGCCATAGGGATGTAGCTGAACTTGCCATCCTCCTTGATGCGGCATAGGTCCCCTCCTCTCTTCATGGGGCATGATGTACCCAGGTGGGCCAGTTTGTCCAAAGCCTCTCGGAACATGTAGACCTCTTCCTCCAGGCCCGTTCCCTTGGATCTGAACCACCGATTGCTCTCTAGGTTGGGGAGGTTGTCGCCCATCGCTGTCACTTTCAGGCTCTTGTACTTCAGGTACCCGTGGTTTTGTTCGTCCACGTCGCTGGTCATCTGGTACATGATCGCCCACCAGTGCCGGTGATGGTGTCCCCGTCGTTGTGCTCGTCTGTGGAAGCACTCCCACTGCACCTTCTTCTTTCGGCAGGAACGTGGGTCTCTCTTTCTGCACCTCCTCTGGCGACCTGTTTCCCATTCCAGGCTGCCAAATGCTCTGCCTCGGGACTTGAGCATACAAGTGAGGAGCTTGGCTCTGCACTTCATGAAGTCCCTTCAGCTGTTCCGGCGTGAAGAGTGGGGTCACCGGTGTCAACGTGGTCGGCGGTCCCTTCGGACCTTCCAATTTCTCTTCCCCTTCTTCTTCACCATCTTCCAACGCCAGCTGCTCCTCTTCTAGCTGCCGCTCTTGTAGGTGAAGGCCTCCCTGATCATCGGGGTCTTCTTCTCCACCTTCGCCTGGAGCTTGCCGGCGGCGCCTTGCCATCATCGCCATGGCTGCGAAGAGCGAAGGGCTGCCTTCCCCTTGCCGGAAGGTCTTACACCTGCGACCTTGGGCTCATAACCTGCAAGGTTCAACGCTCCTATTTTCGAGCATAAAAGCGGCTGTCGAGTGTACACTTCTCGTTTTGTGCGTGTCATCCTTTGCGGACCAGCACTTATAATCGGGATGACCCGCCTATGAAATGAATGGTGGGGCAGGAAGCCTAGGGAGGTCCTTGAGCTCCTTGGGATGGCCTCATCCCGTATACTTCTTCACTGAGTTTCTGTCCGTAGGGTCCAGACCGTATCTCCTTTCAACCCATGGTGGTGAGTGTACGTAGCGACGTAGCCAAGCCGGAGTTGCTCATACCACACAGATCAACAACACATGACTGGACACCATAGGAGGTAGGGTATAGGGTGTTCAGGATCAGGAGACTTGCACCGCACCTGGGTCATGTCCTGGACTTGGGAACAAACACATGGTTGAACATGACATGTGTTTTTGTTGGGACTCCCCAAATCTGCTTCAAGAGCCATCTGATGGAGAGAGCCACCGTTCGTCCCGGCCCAACCACGCGGGCACCAACGACCCAAGAGGCGGTTCCGGAGGCGCCTCCTGGCCCAAAAGCGGAGGTTTTGGGCGGAGGTAGAGCAGTGCAGGATCGCAGTTTCCAACAGAGGTTCTGTGACCGTAAATAGGACCCCCCTAGAGGGGTACCTATAGGATAGTCTATAGGGTTCTTCAACCTCTGCTGGTTGTGATGTTTGTGAAAACGGCTTGGTCCTTCGGAAAACCGGCTTGCGTCTTCCTTTCAAGGCCATGCGTTCAGAAGGTGACGCCTTAGTCGACTTATAGTGAGGATACATCGTCAAGGGTTAACCACTGGAACGTCCTGGGTGTGAATATCCACCAGTTCAGCGAGTCTCCACCATGTGCTGGTCGGACGGGGACACCGTCCAGGTCGGACGACGGGACGGTGCCGCAGGCTGACATGGAACTTCCATGCCCGGGGGCTCCAACGACTTTTTTTCTATTGGGGATGGCGGTGGCAGAGAGGGTGCCGGGGTGTCTAACTAAGTGAGGATGTGCTAGGGCATGCTCACAAGAACAAGATGAGTCTTGACCACCCCTACAGGTCTTGAAGGTCTTGAGAAAAGCATGTGCCTCTGTGTGTGTTCATGTCCCAAAAAGATAAACAAACAGCAACCACAACAACAACAACAACCACTACGACAACGACAACGACAACGGCAGCAGCAGCAGCAGCAGCAGACCCGAGGCGAACCTTGGCCTCTCTGACATGGAGCCAACCTTCAAAAGCCTTGGACATTGACCACGTGAACATGGAGGGACTTCGAAAGATCTCCTGGAGAATCTGAAGGTAAAACATGGTAAAGCCCCAGGACCTTCAGTTCGTGACCGAACTTGATCCCCTGGTGACTTATAGGTCATTTATATATACCCTGTAACTCCGGTCACCAACGAAGACTCCAAGGGCTTTCGGTCACTCAAGGTCCAAAAGCGTTTTGGACAAGGCATCCAGTTCGGCGATGGGCCCCGCAGCAGTCAGGTAGAGTCACTACGACCGGAGCTGTCGAGTCACCGGTGGTCGTGCGCGTCCCGTGGTCGTTCGACTGTGAATTGATGGTGAAGTTTCACCAAAGCTTCCCATGCTGAAGGCAAACTGATCACAATTGGGTGGTGGAATTCCGGAGTCCCTGGATTTTTGTACGAGGTTTGGACACTCCTAACCCTCCAAGGACATGCAGTGTCTGGGCTCCAAAAGTCTCAAAGACGGTGATTCAGAATCCTCGCTGCTACCAGCACATCCGACATCTCCTCATCCCATCACTCTGAGGGCTTTGCTTCACCGATCCGAACACCCCCTGTCGACTCACTCGAAAGCTTAAGAAGTCTTTTTTCCACGTCGCTGGTGACTTGCTGAAGTTGAGCAGTGCCATCTTTAAGCAAAAAGCCACTAGTCGGGGGACTCTCAGGGACACAGAGACTGTGCTCTGGTTCTTTTGGGCGACGGGTTTCGCCTCGATCCAGCCTGAAACTTCAGGACTGGTCTTTTGGTCGATAGATGAAGGGCGTTTTTGGCCTTCTTTTTGTTGGTGTTTCGACCCAATCTTCGACGCCCAACCAAAAAACAGTTCTTCCAGTCTTCATCTGAAATGCTCTTCGAATTTCGGCGCGGATTCCGGAACATGTGGCACAGTTCACTTCAGAACTTGCAAAAGAACACCGGCTGCCCAGCGCCGGCCCCACACCCGCAGGCCATCGGCACGGAGGGCCCGTCGGCGCATCGGCGGCTGCGCGCCCCGGGTGCCATTGGCACGAGGGCTGCGGGCGATTCCTCCTCTTCCATGGGACCAGGTGGCAAAGAACTCCAGCAGCACAGCTGCAGCTTCTTGCACATACTTCCATGAAGGCGCCATCCATCCATTTGGGTGCCATCCATCCTCTCGACTCAAAAAAACTTATCATCACTCCGATGCAGGCTGCATCTGTCCACTCCTTTTCCGCCCAAACACCGCGGCCGACCGAGCGTGGCTGGTCCCGACCTTTTTAGAGCTCCAGGAGCTCGCTCCACAGCGCCGCGTTGTCGCCGCCCGAGCGCTCGTTGCCCCAGGCGATGGGCGGCCCATCGCGGAGGATCGCTACGAAGGCCGAGGACGTGGCCTGGATCGCCAGCACCTGAGAGTATAACGGACGAGACATCGGCCATGGCGGGGCTTCATCGAGGTTGTTCATGACCCGAACTAACTCGACTATCCCATATAGGTACCCCTGGTTCACGGGTCCTACAATATAAGGTCACTTGAACCTCTGTTGGCAGTAGATGTCAACTAGAATCGACGAGTTTGGAATTGTTTCCCAAACCAACCGCGACCCATGGGACTGCCATATATATATATATATATTCGCCTATACCAACAGAGGTTGAAGGACACTAACTCGACTATATCCCATAGGTACCGCTGGTGACGGGTCCTATTCACGGTCGCTGGCTACCTCTCTTGGTACATTGGGGTGGTGCGAGGGGGGTCAATGGGGCGGCATATATGGCAGCATTACATGGAGTGTATGGGCAATGTAATTCACAAACGTTTTCATTGGCATTCAAGGAATTCGGGGGGTGGCCATTTGATGCCTATGCCCTACAGCCCCCTCGCCATCAGGGTGTTATACTATATACCAGTAGCATCCAGTGGCCCTCAAAACCATGATAAATACAGGTTTTCACATACAAAAACCATGTTCGTTTGCTATGTGAAAACCAGGTTTTTGATGGTTTCCCCTGGTGTGCTGGTTCCGTGGGTGGCCCTGCCCAGGCTGTTCGGATGTCCCCAATCCGAAAGCCCAAAACGACGTCCATGACCGGAGACCTTCCGCTCTGCAGGTCTACGGCTAGGCAGTGTGGAAATGAAAAGCGAACAGGAAGCAAACAGAAGCATCCAACCATCCCTGGGGCGGCTAGATCATTCGGGTGGTGGATGTTTTTTTTGTTTTTTTCGGTATTTATATTAGACAAAGAAACCCGTGAAGGCTTGAAGCTTTGGGGGTGCTAAGGGGCGGTTCACTTCATTCAAAACAAGATGAGAATGTATCAACCATGACGGTTGAACATTCACAGGGTTCGACATGAATGTTTTTGATTTTTTTGCGGACGGATCTTCATTTTGAGTGGCCCACTGGTGAACCACATAAGATTGATAATAGGTCCCAAACACTCCATGTATGCCATATATATGCCTACATTGGTGTGGTTTGAGGGATCAATGTATGCATATATATGGCAGTCCCATGGAGTATCTCTGGGTCAAAACTTTGCACTTCCTTGAAGTTGCGGAACATGTGGGGCCGGCCTAACCCTAAACCCTTGAAATCCGAAAACAGTTGCTCCGTCCTTGCTCCGCTCAAACGTCGCTCGCTCGGTGAGACGCGTGGTCGCTGCAAGCGAAGCCACGCCCACGAGTTGCTCCTGGACCGCTCGGCAGTTGCCTCCGTGCGTCATGGAGCCCCAGCAGACCACGGTTTCGTTCTGCAGCAACGCCGCGAAGGCCGCATCCTGGCGGCTGGCTCGAACGCTGGCGGGATTCCAGGTGGTCCAGTGGAGATGAGGTCTGAAGGTCAGGATCAACCTATTTTCTATCAATCCACTGCCACCTTCTCATGACTGGATCCTCCTGGCTCCTACATAGTCTCCAATCACTGTACCTGAGAAGGTATATGGTTTTTGAACAGTCCGCGTTAAGCTCCGGAACGTCAACCAAACTGAGGTCTTCGTAGTCGCTACATGTGGAGTCTGCGTCAAGGGGACCTGTAGCAACATTTGTCTTATTCATGATGCGCTTTAGAATGAAAGTCTTCCAAACAGTCAGGAGGCTCACACCTTTATGACCACAACCATGCATGTACTGAGGTAGAAGCCTTTCTATAGACCACTACTGTCTCTATAGACAACCACAGGTCCCTCAGTTCCCTCGAGGTCTCCGAGCTGGGGCCACCCAGCGCTGAACTTGAGTGGATCATGATGGATCATGACCTAGTCACCCCAAGGCGAGGCCAGACTTCCACCAGCGGCTGACGGAAATTGTTCATGCTGATGGGGTGCGGAATCCATGCCTCTACCATCCAAAACGATCAAACAGCTCCATGTCACCAATCTCCTTCCCCACTCCACCCACCTTACCCCCTACCAATCAAATCCACCAGACTTTCTAAACTCATCTAATCCACAAAAAAAAAGGAGCAAAACCCATGAAAAATTCATCACACACTCTTCACCGAGGCTCATTGGCAGCGATCTCCTTGACCTCCTTCAGCGTGTCGGGCATGGGTACCGCGCCGGGCAGCGCTGTTTGGCCCCAACACACGACGCGGGGGGACCTTCCCCCGTCGGCCAGCAGCGCGGCGAAGGCGTTCCTCGGCCGTCCCAGGGCTCCGTCCAGTGTGCCAACCGTTACTATAGTAGGGCCTCCATCCTAAGCGATCGCACCTATATACTATTCTCAGGAGATGGTTTTTGGTGGTCTTAAGACGCAGTGTCAATACCACGCTGCAGCGGCAGCACTGTCTGTTGCGCATGTCTGGCTCCGTCCAGACAGGGATCGACGGGATCGTACCTTCGTTGACAGGTGCGGGTTTCGGGTGCCCAAACGGTCGGGTCCAGTCAGACCTGAACCGTTTCGTGAAACGGTACGAACACGGAGCCCAAATGGGGAATCCGAACGAAGCTCCGAGCTGTACGAAGGATGAGGTCGCTGGCACGACCAGTCTCGTCGGTTCAGCGTACAGGGCCCGTCACCTGGGGTGTCTTTTGGCATAGTCGAACGTTCGGGTTCTTCAACCTCTGCTGGGCAAACCTCTGGAAGACTATCACCTGCCCAGCTCGCATCTCAAACGATCTCGCTCCCACCAGTGGAGAAGGAGGGGGCAAAGGAGCTGCCCAAGTCCCTGGGTTTGAACCAGATTGAACAAGCGCAGGACGATCTTTGATGGCCACACAGGTGTTGTCGTCAAATTAGGATCTTTTGCAGCGCTTTTGCTGCGGTGGCCCATTCCAAAAATATTCCTTTGGAGGGAGGTCCCTGCAGTTTTGCACGGCTGAGATTTCAGGTATCCTGGACATACCGACCTCCCGATTTCACCTGGATAGTTTCAATACACAGATTAATGTACAGGCTGATGTCTGCGCGTAAAGTTTTGATCAGCATGCTGAGTTGTGTGAGTCATCAGGGAGACACACACACACAGTTGGAATGTTTGCAGCCAGAAGGAAGTGCTGCCTGCACTTTGTCTTCCTTAAGATTATGATACGGTTTTCCATCTTTTGCTTAGTTTCGGATCACTGAGCTTGGCAAAAGCTCGTGACATGTTTTACCAAATGATCCACTAACATGCACGCAGTCGGTATGATGTGGGTGTATACACCTTGCCGAATCTAGAAGAACTTCCAGGTACGTGCACTTGAGCAGAAACGCGCGGTTTGGCTTCTATGCCTTGAAGCCCTTCCGCGAATCGGCATGCCTCCGGTGTTTCCTTCTATGCCGCTTCTTCAGAACCCGAGTTCCTATAGACTCTCCTAGTTGGGTAACCCCTGGCTTTTTCCAGGTCCGACCAACAGAGGTGGGTCAGAGCCCGAACGTTCGACTATCCTAGTTGGGTACCCCTGGTGTTCCGGGTCCGACCTGGTCCCGGTCACGTTCCACCTCTGTTGGCGACCTCGCCACGCCGTGAGCGACGAGACGCGCCGTCCGGGGATCGGATCGACCCTGGCAGCGGCGCAGCACGGTGTGGCGCAGCACGGCGTGTAGCGACCGGGACCGGGACCGGGACTACCAGGGGGTGCCCAACTCGGAGAGTCTACCAGCAGTCACAAGACGGGGTGGTGTGAAACGTCCCCTTACGTGAGTGGAGTAGCTGGGCACTCCTAACCTCCATGGATAGCACCCCTTTGTGACTGCAGGTATAGGCTAATAGGGTTCCTTAACCTCTGTTGATAGGCTCCCAGGTACATGTCATATCCCAGACACCACACATGGGACTGCGGGACTGCCGATCAGTCTTGACCATCTGGCACCACCCCAACGGCCGTTTCTCGGCCATCCGTCCTGGCAGTCCCATGGAGTCCGGAGTGTCTGGTGAGCGCCAACGCGCAAACAGGGCAAATCACTTGGGGGCTGTGTTCCAGTAGATCTGCAAACAGATCGAGGCAATTCGATGCCCTCTTCCTGGAAGGACGCAAACAGGTAACCCATACAGTATTGGGCCACGGGACCTCCACTTGGGCCATGGGATCTCCACTTGGGCCATGGGATCTCCATTTGGGCCACGGGATCTCCACTTGAGATGCGTACATCATCACAGGATTCCCTGTGACTCCAAGGGTTTCACACGGCAAAAGAAAGGTACACCGGACTGCTCGTCAATCCGACCGGATCCTCTGACTGCTCGTCAGGCTGTTTTCAGAGCAAGGTGTGCATTGGATTCATGTTCTACACTAAAAGACAGAAAAGAAAAACACATATGCACTGCATTGCACTACCTTTAACTGCTTCATGGTCATGGTCAAAACCATTCACAGAGTTCCCCATCCGTTCCTACTAGCAATGGCCTCCAACCTAGTAGCGATGGCCTTCAACCTAGCCTCCCCAAAAAACCACGGCTGCTTCAAGTGTCTTCCCGGCCGCCACCGCCACGCAAGCGGCGCCTCTCGCCGTCTCGGGCAGCTGGCCGCCGCGGGCGGGGTCGCCCCAGGCGACCAGGGATCCGTCCTAGGAGAGCTACTCTGCAGCATCTATTGAACATAAATAGAACCATGTTCTTGTTAAGCACATCGACATCATATACAGTTCCCAACATATATCTATGTAGTCCGCCGACCCCACACCGTGGGGTGAGGCGTGACTGTCGATGTTAGCCTTAGCCTTAAGCCTAAGCCTTAGCCTTAGACCTTAGACCTAGTCCTTAGCCTTAGACCTAGACCTTACCTCCCCTACCCCTCCGGACCCTTGTTGCAGTGACGAAATCCTGCCGGGAAAGCGACCTGGATTGTGCAAGAATCTGCCATCCCAATTGATTTACATCTTGGGGCACCCTCTCGACCCGCGCGGGAAAATAAGCACGGTCCAAAATGGTCCTGGGCTCGAATCCCGGGCTGGTCGCGGCATGGTCCCGGCCAATGCCCTTGCTTTTTCGTAGATTTTGTCACGTTTTCTGTTGGCTTATGAAATTTTCAAAGGCTTTTCTGGCATTTTCCTAGGAATGCTCTAGGCTTTGTCTTTTTGGGTACCTGCTTTGGTGGTGCTGGGTTGGGTCTAAATTGGTAAACCTGGGAGGCGCACAAAAAGTCGACTTTTGGGGTACCTGCTTTGGTGGTGAAGGGTCGGGTCTAAATTCTTGGGCAATGATCGGGGTTCATGCAAGAGCTGACGTCCGATGGTAAATCTGGGAGGTACCCAAAAAGTCGACTTTTTGGGTACCTGCTTTGGTGGTGCTGGGTTGGGTCTGCACTCTTAAGGCTAAGGCTAAGGCTTAAGGCTAAGGCTAACATAGAGCAAGGCTAGCGCTAAGGTTCTATCCCTTGGGGGTCGGCGGCTGCAGGCGGTAGCCTGGTAAATATATCAATCAAACAAGCACAGCACAGTGTCATTGCTATAGGATATGTTTATATGTATTATACAACTTTGTTTAATCGCTGAAGAAGACCAGCACCTCCCAGTTTGGCTGGGGATCGAACATACATGACGTCACGGGATTGACCTATCAATAACCACCCTAGGACCCTGTTCGGGTCACCTGGTCAGCCACTTTGAAGAATTGTCTTGGACGAAGGTGACATCGAAACCCCGCCCATTCATACGGAGTCGTCCATCGTCAGAGACGATGTCGACTCTCCTTGCGAATGGCCACGAAGGCGGCACTGTTGGCTTGAATGTGCTGAACGTCTTGCAGCTGCTCCTGGACCTGGGCGTCGCTATCGGGCGACTCTAGTCAACCCCCGTTTCATGGGAGAAGAACTGGATCTCAGCAACCCTGAGTCACGCCCTCCGGCTTGCACCAGCGAGTTACTAGTTGGAGGTATCTGAGAGTTTCTGGAGACCAACAAATCTGAGATCATGAATGATTTCAATCTCCATAATCTTCCAAGCTACTTCCCCTTATCATCCATGATTGGCATGCCCAGAAAGGCTTTTGGAACGCCTGGAACATACCGTCTATGTGTACTGATTTGATTTGCACGTGCTCAACACCCCATCTACACGTCATACAACTGACTTGGCTCACGCGTTCCATTCTTCACGTCATGCGCTTTTGCACCAGCCCCTGGGGCATCTGCACACGTTTTGTTTCTTTTTGGCTTGTCCTCCTGAGATGACTTGCTGCTTAAACTGAGGAACATGCAGACCTTCCAATAGCTCCCTCCCTTTCCCCCACCCATCACTCATCCACCCATCAATCTCAGAGCCAACGGACGCCCCACCACAAGCCAGAAGCCCATTTATGGATCATCTTCCAAACAGGTCTCCTTGTGAGTCACCCCACCCCACCAGTTTCTCCCAACAAAGCACTGCTTTTTGTCTCAAAACGAAGAGAGGTACACCCAGCGACCGTAAATAGGACCCGTCACCTAAACCAAACACGGGGTACCCAACTGGGACAGTGGAACGTTCGGGTCCTTCAACCTGTTGGAAAACCTCTTGGTGCCCGGACCGCCGCAGGCACCTCGCCGCCTGAGGCCGCGTCGCCCCAGGCGACGACGCCGCCGGTGGCGTCGAGCGCCGCGAAGGCGGCGTTGGTGGCGGCGAGGGCGACCTATGCCACACGAGGAGGTGCAGGTGCTTAAGGGGGAAGAAAAGGGTCGGAAACAAAGTTTCTATAGCTCCAATCTCACTATATGCCCTATATGATCAATTTTGCTTCTTATTCCTTGTTAAGGCCTTGTAACACGGCTAGAACTGGTTCTCTGCGGCATCCACAAAATGACCGGGATTTGGGCGCCCCATTTTCGCTCACCAGCAGGCTCCAGATTCCGAACCGGTTTCCGATGTGCACCGTGGTGTTGGGCTGTGCCGGTGTTGGGCGGTGACCCAAACAGGATAATTAAACCCTGTGCGCCACACGCGGGAAAAGCCGAGGAGGTCTCGGGTGGTTCGGGGCGTCCTTCGACCAAGGTGACAGCCTATATGGCCTGTTTGCCCCCAGTCTGCTTACCTCTTTGCCAAGGAAACCTCCAACGAACCTCTCACACCTGGCATCATATTGCCCCAAGCACTGACTCCAGCTTCGACCCCCCTTCCTCCGTCCTAAAAAAAAAACATTGAACCCAATATAGCAAAGGCCTCCAAAGAGCGGGGCCCCATCAAGGGTGGAGTGATGAAACAAAACTCCGGTCCGTCCAAAACTATTCAGCGCAGCGCTTCTATATACCCTCGCTTCGACCCTCGCACCACCTGCCAGGTATTACGGTATATACCTATATATAGAACCCAGACATGATGACACGACGTGAGATGACCTAAACAAGAAAGGACCATGTTTTGAGTGGTTGGTGATCCAAACTATAGAGGTCACAACCTGATCAAGTCCTTAGCCAAACAAATACTCTAACCTGAATGAACCATGTTTTTGTTTTTTGCACCAAACGTGCTCTTTCACAAACTCCAACATGCCCAAAAACTCATGCGTCAACAAAGACACCTCGGAGCCCGGCGTGGCCCCGCGCCGTCCCCGTCCTCCCCGCCGCCTTCGCCGCACCTTCGCCCGCCGCGTCCGCCACGCGGCCGCCGTAGTTGGGCGCGCCCCAGGCCGCGACGCGGCCGCAGGCGTCGAGCGCCGCAAAGGCGCCCCAGGTGGCAGCGAGCTTTTGAACCCCACGGAGGTGTGCCACGAAACCTGGGTGGAGGGTGGAGGGGGTGGAGGGGTGGAGAGATGGAAACATAGATCATAAACAAAATGCACTTTTGATCCTTTTGTAGTACTTATTTACTGCGTAGGCGTAGGATATATATATAGAGAGAGAGAGACAGAAAACCAAAAACCCAGGCCCCATGGCCACCCCTTCTGTATATATATTTATGGTTTTTTCATGTGTATATATATAAGATTTACATGCATCTATCCCCCAAAATGTTGTTCAATCAACGATTCCCCTTGCGTCCTCCAACGCGTCACCTGGATGATACAGAAGTCCTTCGTAGAGCAGCTGTTTCATGCTGACTCGATGTCGATTGACCCGGTTATTGAAACAATGGCGATTGGACTCCCTACAGGGGTTGCCATACTCTGTAGAATATACCCACTTGGTGGTTCCTTATTTGTGGCACTTGCAACTTTGTTAAAGCACTCGTAGGACTTAAGCAATTTGTAACTAGTACTTAGAGAACTTAAGTTTTTGAGGGTTTTAGTCATAATCGTAAGTGGTAAAGTACTTGTAACTAACTTATAAGTTCTGTAAGTTCCTGGACGACGTATCGTCTCAAACAAGCTGATAAAGATCATGTTCATGTTTCTTTTTTTGGCCAGCTATTGCATGCCTGAGGCGGCTCAACGAGCCACCAAATTAAGAATCTCTGACACCAACCATACAACACTTTGTATATATACATATATGAGGAGATTAGCTTGCAAACGAGTCCTATAACATTACATTTGGGTGACAACACTGTTAGCTGCTCACGATGGTGGCAGCCGTGTGAGGGACAATTCTTTTTCTCCCACTCAAGCTGAGAGAGTCGTTGCCACACGAAGTCCAGACCTGCCACGAATGTGAAGAGAGCATACACCCCATGAAACCTGGAAGGTAGCACTCTCTAAGTAGTCTGCTTGCATCTCTTTACAGCACATTTTTCACCGTCTTCTCTTCACAGGAGGCTGTCCATGAAGCTTTTCAAGCTTTCTTTTCAAATCTCTAAATTTCTCCATTCTTCGGGTGAAAAATAATTTGCAAAATATCGGATTTCTTCGCCTCAAACATGGTGAGCGAACAATCAAACTCAAACATATCAGTCAAAACAAATGACAATAAACATCAAAGCCAACAGCCACCAAGTCGAGTCGCGAAGGCTTTAGCATTCATGAAAACAATCCTCCTTCATCTTGCGCCAAAGGTGGCACGATTTCAATGTTCCCCCAGTCGAAGGTGCAAAGGCCCCCTCTGGAACATCTTGAACAGGCAGAGGTTCTGATCTTCCGGACTTGCGGGCCCCCTCTGGAACATCTGAGAGGTTCGGTCTCAGGTGTGGTGATCTTCCGGGACTTCCGCTTGCGTGGTGCACGCTTTGGCCCTGGGAAAGCACACAAACAATTTGAAGTAAAACCAGTGCACCCTACGGTCGCAATCACTAGATTTTGTTGCTGCCCAGGCTGCCCAGGTGTCTATTTTTCTCATAAATCTTTTGAAGTGCACCTCGTCTTTCCACACCCTTTTCCGGCGCATTCACTTCCAAGTACTTGCTTCGTGAGGCCATGAAGCACACAGAGAAGTTCTCGAAGCCAAGGCTGATCACTGATGATCATTGCTTCGTCAAGGCTCATAAAGAAAAATTGCAATGGATTCATAAGTGGGCTCACACATGCGCAGTGGCCGCTAAAGTTTGGAAATATGTTGAACTTCAGGATACGCCCCCAAGTTTCTATGTTCAAGATTGTTCCTGCTTGACACAGGCAAAAGCAGCGCCACATCAACTCGTGGCATGCACCGAACTGCACCAGCTGTCATGAGAAGTCAAAGCGCCACTCCCCTCGCCTTTTGGAAGAAGTTGTCGCTTCCTGGAACAAATTATTATTGCATCAGCTGTTGCTCAAAATGGAATGACAAATTAACTTGAAAGTCAAGGCCTAGTGCACATTTGCTCTAGACATCCCTGTAAGGTTTTGATTTTCACACCAGGTTGTTCGAAAAGCTGGGTTTCTCTAAGGCTCTCAGGACCTTCACCGTGACCAGTGGTAGGGATATAGCTTCTGGCGGCTCAATCAGCTGCCAGACACCGAAACACGCGCAAGTTATATAATTACACCTGGGCCCCCAAGTGGCAAAAAAATTGCGCAACTTTAGAAAGTGGCAACAATTTCTGCCAATTGTCACTTTTACAACCGTTGACGCATTGTGTAATATTTTGGCGCAGTGGCAGATTTCTACCAGCAATGTGTGGAAAGTTTCAATTTCAACCCTTTTGCCCCTTCTTGCAGTAATGTGTTTGTCACAAACGCTGTGCAACTGCAACCAAGTATTGCAGCACAAGAGTGTGCTGAATATTCTGCTGTGACACTTTTCCAGAAATCATTGGTTTTGTTTGATGAACTCAACTTGGTGGCAAAAGTGTGCAAGAAGATAGAGACACCTGTGTTCCAAGATCATTATGCGCAGTGTTGAAGGCAGCTGCGTTTGCATGTGACTAGCATGAGATGCAAATCTGACAAACAGGGCCACGCCTGCGTTTTGTTTCCAGATTTTCGTGAATCTAAACATCTTCCATTTTGATGTTAAGCGATGAAGGAAAGGCAAGCCATGAGCCTATCAGCGGAGTAGCATTCCCTCGACATGGTGTAGCTGCGCCTGACTACATTTGACTCTGCCTGCGCATTTAAGCGCGCGACGAGCCTTTAATCCACGCATGCGCATGTGCATGTGTGACAAGTTCATATGTAAGACGCCCGCAAAGTGTCACGCTTGTGAAAGTGGCATTTTCTTTGTGCCCAGATCGGAGCGTGGGAAACCTACGGAAATTTACGCCACTTTATGCGAAATTTATGCAACTTTTATGCAAATTTGGCCGCAGAACGGTTTTCCACAACCAAATGTGGTAGTTGCCTTTTGCTTGTCCAATTGGGCATACTATAGTTTCTACTCATGGAGGCCTCAAATTGCATGAGTGGCTCAGGTAGTCAAGGAACGACGGAAAATGTGCCTTCCACGCCGCCTTTTCACTTTCTGTTTAAATTATCCGAAAGATTCATGGGATATGTTTGTCATGTATTTTTTTGCCACGATATTGAAAACCTGAAGCCGCCTAAAAGTAAATTTCCTGACCCCAAAACTTAAAATCAGCAAATCAGCAAAACTTAAATCCTGACTCCATGATTTTCGAAAGTTCTGGGAGTCAGGAAATTGTCAAAAATCAGGAGGTGGTTGGGTTGACACCTCCATGAGCCGCCTTTGAGGGATGAATAGCAGTTGATATATGATATAGATCCTCAAATGACAAGATGTAGCAAAATGATAAGTTCACAAATTGGATTTATACATTTTCATACATGTATAAATCGATTCCGTGATCAATTTATACATGTATAAATTGAAACGGGTGCGGTTTATTCGTGTATAAAATTTTAGTCCGTATGTATTCATACATTTTGTACATTTGTTTACATTTTATACATGTATCGAACATTTGTGTTTCCATGGTATGTGAAAACCATTGGCAAGTGAGTTTCTATGTGCCTGTACCCCCGTCAGTGGCAAAAAAACACATGCAACCATTCCAGTTGCAAACATTTCTGCCACTTTCCACTTTTGATCCCTCACACACACATTTGTAAGGGTTGGAATTGCCACTTTCAGTTTCACCAACCTTCCAAAATGCAACTTTAATCCTTGGTCAATAACGATGCCTGATGGGATGTTTCCCTTTGCGCGCTGTTTGATTCATGTTGAGTTTGATGGTCATCCGATGATCTTTGCCGATTTTAGTCATGCCCATTCCACTTCCATCTCTTAAATGTCCCTTCCTTGTATGATAATAGTTGGTCATGGTTCCTGAAGTGCATGCCGTTGTTTTGTGCGAGATTATTGACCTGAGACCTGTGTCAAAACAAATGCGTGCACCGTGCACGCAGGCATGCTTCCTAATTGAACCACCTCGAGAAGATCGGCGGGAAATTTAGTAACTAAGTTACCAACCACTTACAAAATACTTACAAGTTCCCTAGCCAAAAAGGAACCACCAAGCACCCCATCAAAACAAAAAACAACACAAACAATTGCACCAACACCAATCACAAACAGCAGCGGCAACTTGATATCAGTGCCCAACCCCAGTAAATCAAAAGCATACCTGTCAAACCGGGTCATTCCCTACCTGAAAAATGAAAGGTTTTGATTGAACATCCAAGAACAAGAGCCCCGGGAGGCAAAAGGAGACAAACCAGTGATCATTTCAGCCCAGCATTCAGACAAGGTAAGCAAAGGGAGCCAAAGCAGAATCATCTCAGCCCACAATCCAGAAGAGCCATGACGACAAAGGGAGACAATCAAAATCGTCTCACCCCAGCATCAACACAAGCAAATCATCTCAACCCACCACCAGCAGAACTATGCAGGACAAAGGTAGACCCACGGAGACAAAGTAGAATCATCTCAGCCAGCATCCAAAAAACCAGCAACCAAGAAGAGCCATGGGAAAGACAAAGGGATACAAAATGAAACAAAAGGCTAGAAATCATCTTGGCCCAGGCTCGTTCCTAAGCAAGAATTGAGAATCCCTCACAGAAAAGCTGCTTGGGGAACAAAAGGCGACAAAGCAAAATCATCTCAGCCCAGCATCCAGACACGCCATGGGAGACAAGGGGAGACAAGGAGAGACAAAGCAAAGTGATCCCAGCCCAGCATGCAGACACGCCATGGGAGACAAGGGGAAACGAAGGGAGACAAAGCAAAATCATCTCAGCCCAGCATCCAGACATGCGATGGGAGACAAAGAGCGACAACGGGAGACAAAGCAAAATCATCTCAGCCCAGCATCCGGAGACAAATCAAATCATCTGAGCCCAGCATCCAAACATGCCATGGGAGACAAGGAGAGACAAAGCAAAGTGATCTCAGCCCAGCATCCAGACACGCCATGGGAGACAAGGGGAAAGGAAGGGAGACAAAGCAAAATCATCTCAGCCCAGCGTCCAGACATGCCATGGGAGACAAAGCATACAAGGGGAAACGAAGGGAAACAAAGCAAATACTATTTGAGTGCAGCATCCAAACATGCCATGGGAGACAAGGAGAGAAAAATGGATACAAAATGGTACACAAGTACATGTTTTTATAGGGTCATGTCCCATTTTCTAAGGTACGAACGAAGTCGGATGCAGGATCTTGTCCTCCCAATATCACCCAATCACCCACGACAGTCAACCAAACCAATTCTACTATACAAAATGTTACACCACCGTAGACCCCAAACAGTTTATGGTTTTCAAAACCGGAACACTCTGCAACTAGAGCTTGCGACGTCCAGAGCTGGGAGACAAAGGATTGCAAGGCAGAGGCGGCCACAGCAGTCCAGAGCTGGGAGACAAATGTAAACACAGGGAGACAAATGTAAAGGATTGCAAGCGACACGCAGCCCAGAGCTGGGAGGCAAATGTAAAGGATTGCAGGGCAGAGGGGGAGAGAGGAGGCACATGTACAGGAAAGAAGGAAGACAAGGCGGACACAATGACCAACAAGAAGGGGGACAAGAAGGGAGACAAAAGGAAACAGAAGTGAGACAAAACGGACACAGTGACCAACAACAAGGGAGAAAAGACCGGAGACAAAGGGAGAGAAGAAGGGAGACAAGGCGGACACAATGACCAACAAGAAGGGAGACAAAAGGAAACAGAAGGGAGACAAGACGGACACAGTGACCAACAACAAGAGGGACAAGACCAGAAACAAAAAGAAACACAAGGCACAATGACCAACAAGGAGGGAGACAAAAGGAAACAGGGAAGACAAGACCGGAGACAAAGGGAGACAGAAGGGAGACAAGACCGGAGACAAAGGGAGACAGAAGGGAGACATGCGGACACAATGAAGGGAGACAAGAAGGCAGACAAAGACAAGGCGGACACAATGACCAACAAAAAGGAAAAGGGGAAACAAGAAGGGAGACAAGACCAGAGACAAAGAAAGAAAATGAAGGGTGACAAGGCGGACACAGTGACCAACAAGAAGGGAGACAAGAAGGGAGACAAAAGGAAACAGAAGGGAGACAAGACGGACACAGAGGGAGACCAAGGGAGACAAGCCGGATGGAAGGCGGACACGCTGTCCGGCAGCAAGGCGGACACTCTTAGAAAGCATTTAGAACCCCTAACAGTAACCTGTTTGGGGAAGTACAGAAATCACCTGGGAGACAAATGAATAGAAATGCTGGAAAGGGGAAAAGGGCGGATGGCAGCAGTGCAGGCACCCAACCTGGAAAACAAAGGTAAACAAACCACATGGGAAACAAATGAATGGGAATGCTGCATGGCCAGTGGAAAAGGGCGGACACCAGCAGCGACAGACCTGGGAGACAAATGAATAGAAATGCTACATGGCCAGCGGAAAAGGGCGGACACCAGCAGTGACACAAAGGGCGGACACATCTTAAGAAAGAATTTAGAACCCCTAACAGTAAACTGTTTGGGGAATTATGACATATATAATATGTGTTCAACAAACACCCTTTTCGGTCACCCATTTCGTGGACATGGTTTTTGATGGGAGGTGCTTTTTGTGTCCGCTTCTTCCCGTTTTGGGGGTCGCCGGCCCGGCGTCGCTGCTGCGCACGTTCCTTCCGGGGCGACGCTCGTCGGATGCCGGGCGGCGGCCGTCGCCGCCGTAGACCTCCTCGCCCCAGGCGAGGATCGCACCGTCGGCGCGCCGCAGCGCGGCGAAGGCGGTGGCTGTCCTAGGGCCATGAAACAGGGGGTGGCGTAGGGGTTTGACAGAAGTGGCCCGGCATCGATGGTGAACCCCTGAGCCAAAGACATCGTTTTGGTGAAAACCTTATCTTTGATGGGTTTGAGAGCTGCTGGTCGTATTGTATAATGATAGGTTATAACCTGTGTCCAGCAATCATGCAAGTTAAGTCTAGGAACCATGCTGGAGAATGGGTCTGCCGGATCCCCAAATGCGACGCTAGACCCTTTCGTGCATCCGAAAAAAAAAACAGGTGAACCCAACGTTCCATTGGTTCTATCTGCCAACCCAAGGCACTCCATGTATGCCATATATGCCTACATTGGGGTGGTTTTAGGGGTCAATGTATGTACAGTACATATGGTGGAACTGTCACATCTGTTCCATCTGTGGCACCGGGTAGTCCGGCATAGCCCTTGACTCCCTGGTCAAATGAGAACTGTCCCATCTGTTCGCATCACTCTTGGCCGCATGCAAAACGGCATAAAACCGTTGACACTCTGGTCGGAACGATTGAGAAGTAGCTGCGCCCCCCCAATGAGCCAGAAAAGGTGTCCCACTTTGCCACCGTCCAGGCACCGAACTAAGAAGCGTGTCAAGCCCAGCTTGGATGGATCCTTTTCGGGGGTGAAGGATTTCATGCGGCCACCGGGGGGGGGGTCAATCTGTTTTTCGTTTGGAGGCACCGTCGAGTCTTTGGGCGAGCTAGGCAGCTAGGGCAGCTTTTGCAGAACATATTGATCATAACGCGATTCTTCCTTCAAGGTACTGACATGTTTGCATCTTAGATGGGACGGTCAATTTTTGATCCAAACAGGTTGTGGTACATCTCCCTTTGCGACATGGATTCCCACACAGGTCGCCGTACTTACTTCCCTATGTCTAAATGCTGGCTCAGGTTCGGTACGCACGGACCCGAGCTAGCTTCGCTTACATCAAAGTCACGAACACATCACCTGCTTGTCAACTTGCAACTTGCAAGGGACAAAAGCTTGAACCACCTTACAAGAACCCTTCAAAAGATCCTCAACCATAAGGTCTTCAAAGGTAGAAGGCCTCAATGAACCTGTAAGGTTCCCTAAGAAGGGATCAATTGAAGCCACCTTACACCTCCTACCCTCGAAGATCTGTGGAGCCTCTGTCCACATTTCCGCCTCTGTCCACTGGGTAACCACTGGAAGAGCCCTCGACCCCGCTCCCCGCCCGGATCGCTCCCATTGCCCAGACACGACTGGATCACAGAGACCTCTGCGCCCAGCAACTCTGGGCTCAAGGTTCCACCGCTGGTGGCCTGCGCAGGGTAGCTGCGGAGGTGGTGAATTGATCAAGCCTGTTCTGTCGGCAATAGCTACCCATTTTGAGCTAGACGAGCTATGACCCTGAAAACAGAGGTTGAAGGACTCTACTTCGACTATCCCAGGCCAGGGTACCCCAGGGTCTGATTAGGTCACTGGGTATACCTCTCATTGGTTTTGGGGCCATCCCGCTGAGGCGTTGAGATCCGGTGAGTCAGGGGTCTCAAGTGGCATCGCAGAGCGCCTCGGACGAGATCGACCGGCCGATCCCGGGGAGTTCCATGGGAGTTGGGTGTTGAGAAGCATCCAGAACCAGGCGACAAGGGCCGGAGCTCTGGTGAAGAAAACCCTCAAAACTCAGTTCAGTTTAGGATCTTTGGGCGCCAAGATTGCCATAGGGGTGTGCATGAAACTCGTTTTTCTTCAAATGAAACAACTCTCTTGCTCAAGACTCGTGCCTCTCCCACTGCCCCGCCCGAAAACGCGGGCATGCGCGGCGCCAAAAGCGACGCCTGGCCCCAGGCGACGACGGTGCCGTCCGTCTTCAAAGCCGCAAAGGCCGTGTTGTTGGACTGGATGGCTTCCACATCACCTGCAGGTGGGCTGGCGTAAAGAGCCTGGCCCTGACGATCTTCAGGAACCCAATGGGGACAAACAATTGAGGGGTGCGATTTTGCGTTTTCAAGCGCATCCCAGCGCCAAAGGGTTGTGAACTGTTCGAACATGGGCCACCAAAGGGGCCCGTATTGGGATGTCGGGGATCCCAAACAACAACTTTCTTCGGAACTCCCTCGCTCGTCTATGGTTTGATGTTTTGGATTCCGCCGTGCGAATCCATGGGCAAAGTCATGTGAGCGTTGTTTGGGAATTTGTTTTTTTTTCGCACATTCAGTTCCAAACGTGTGCGCGATTTGTGTTTCGGGTTTCGCCAGCCCTTCTTTTGGTGCACGAATTGTTCGCAATGTATTTTCTTAACAGGTTGTTTGCAACAGTGTGTTATTCACCTTTTGCGGAAAACATCTTATTAAGATCGATCTCTTCAAACTATTGCGTGGGATTCTATGATGTTTTTGGCCGCTATTCATCTGTGGGGTCCTGAGGGCTTTTCTCGCTCCTTCGATTGGCTACGATGGTTCCACCATGTTCCACCGAGGACCTGTGCTAGATTGGCCCAGCTTATGCTGAAAAAAGTGCCGGACCTCAATCCCGTAAAATGTTCAGCGGGATTCCCCAGACAAAAGCCCAAACCCTGAAAGCACATTCCGGATCCAGGATTCTGAAAAACAGAGATGGTGAAAGGTTGGATCGTGCACAAGAGCAAGCTGTCTTTGCGCCACGAGTAGCTTGTCCGGAACACCCCATTCCACGACCCGACACTGGAGCCTTCCTGTATCCCTTGCACCCACCGCATTGTGCCGAATTCCCGGCGATATTTAGAAGATCACCTGCCTAAACGGATCTGATTGAGCCAGTGTGAGCCACTGTTGAAACCGGTGGAATGTGAAGACAGCGGAGCAGGCAAACGAGCAAACTTTGCAAGCAAAATCAGTGCGTCAGTAGTGGGCTTAATTACCTTCCAAGAAATGCGCGTGCGCGCAAAAGAATGTGAAACCTTGAGGACCCACAAAAAGTGACTTGGAAAACGGACCAAATCCAGAAAACGCGGGAGTTGGAAGTCATGGGATGGTGCATCTGTTGAAATTGCACCACGTGGCCCCAAGCAAACCTAAAATAACCTAAAGCACCTAATCATTATTTAATTATTGCGCTACTTCGCCATCCTTTGATTTGCGTAAGGAACCGGAAGAACTTTTCTCCAGCCAAGGAACAAAATGACCGGAAAACAACTGCACAACCCGGTATCTCCCAAGGGGACATGAAATGCGCGCCCCACTCACTGCCAATCTGTCCAAGACGCAAAGCTGTGCTTCCACATGTCGCGAGTCACCACCACAATTGACGTCGCCCCACGTGACAACCTAAACTCCGCAACGCGGCCGTTGACACGGTTGACACTGAGTGGCAGGGCCCCGGATGTGTTCATTTCCTATCCCGCACGCTAGTGTGGATTTCTGGTTTTTCCTGCTTGACCGCCGCGATGCGACTCCACCTCCTCCTCATCCTCCGGCGGCCGCCTCCCTCAACACCAACTGTCGCTTGACTGACCCAGCTCAACTCACACCAACCCTTCCCGCCCAAGTCAAATCACCCAACTCAACTCACAACTGAAATACACCAGCTCAACTCACACCAACTCAGCTCACCCAACTGAAATCACACCAGCTCAACTCACACCACCTTAACTCCCTGAAGTTCTCACCAACGCAACTCACACCAACTCAACTCACCCAACTCAACGTTCACCAAGTTAACTGCTCGGAGTTGTTGATGTGCAATTTGTGGGATTGCGGCTGTCGAAAACTCATGTATGGAGATATAACAAATACAGTATAAGTCAATCCTTGGATATCCCATTTTCAATCACACTCGTGTCCCTCTTTGTTTTTGTAGGGAAGAGAAATGTTTTGGTTCCTTGCGCAAGTCCAAAAGTGGCGAACTAGCACACCCGCTTTTGATAACTTTTGATGATTTAAGTCTTTTAGAGGCCACCGGGTGGCAGTTCAAGAGATGCACCACTCGAAAAGCTTTAACCAGGACCCCTCAATCGCACTGCTTCTCGGCGCAGCCCAAGAGCATAGGGAATGTTGTGTGTATTAAAAGCCGGGATCTCGAAGTATCTCGAGATACTGAATGACTTGTTTTGCTCTTGGCAAAGCATTGACTCTCGAGTGATTGGTCGAAGTTGCCGACAGTATTGCGAAACCTGCTTCTTTTTTGAGAAAATTGTCCGCACGGGCTCTCATATCATGCGACAATCGTTCTCTGCAAGAGCTGATCAAATGTTTCAATGATTAATGCAAAACTGTGCTTTGTTCGTTTTTTGGAAGATGGTCAGCTCATGAATACAAGCTTTTGCGAGGTTGAGTCTGCAAACGCTTCCTTCATTGACTCGAGTTTTAAACATCCCAGTGGATCACAGGCAGCCACTATGGTAAGGATCCAGAAGCTTCGTTCGGTCTGTGGTTTTAAATGTGTTTTTGTTCTCTGGAACCACCGTGGGCTTGGGGCTGCGACTCAATCAGCCTGCGTATGGAATAGTTGCATAATATATATATATATACATATCGGATCATGTTCAATCATCTTCCAGTCGCATGGATGGTCTGGGACTGCTTCCCCGCCACCATTTTGGGGCCCTCTGCCAGAGGCCGCGCCCGAAGGATTTTTGTCAAGGGGGAGGTGAGTATTATCTTGGGATCCGGATGCCCGGGCGGGAGAGGCAATCCATTCCCTAGGCCTCCAAGTACCTTGTGAGGTGGTGCTTGGGGTGGGTGCCAGGAGGGTCCAGTCATACCTTCTGAGGAAACGTATAGACACCTGCGGTGCCTGGGCCGGGGAAAAAAGGGGGCTGCACGTAGACACCGCGAGTACGGCCGGTGCCAGGCCTTGCCAGGTGCCCGGACGGTTTCGAAATCCAATCCATTCTTTTCACAGGGTTGGTACTTACAAGCCTCCATATAAACCCCAAAAAAATAGGGCTAACAAAAATCGCTTTCTTGGGGTCCCAACCCCGCGATGTTGTAGAGGAAATTCAAAAGCCCCCTATATGTTTCACGTAAGCCGTGCTTTCCACCGGCTCCCCGGACCACCCTTCTGCCTTCCCCCTGCACTTCCGTCGACCAGTGTTGCAAACCGATATAAACCGCCGACGATTCGTCGGTAAACCCACCAGCTGGCCCAGGTGATGTCGTCGGCTAAGCCGGCTTAGCCAAGGACATCGGCCCAATGGCCAATCTTAAGGGTTGGGCCGTGGCTAAGCCACGGCCTCGTCAAAGAGAGTCCTTGTTAAAAGGGGTCCCAACAAACAGAATCCTTGTTAAAAGGGACCTGGTCAAAGACTTGTTAAGGGTTCCCACCAAACAGAAACCTTGTTCGAGGGGCCCCATCTAACAGAATCCTTGTTCGAGGGACCCCCACCAAACAGAATCCTTGTTAAAGTGGCGCCGTGAAACAGAATCCTTGTTCAAGGAGCCCCGTTAAACCGAATCCTTGGTCAAGAGACCTCGAACGTAGACCATTTTGCTTTAAACCGATGAGAACATAATCGATTGGATATTGGAATACCAGTATGCTTTTCTTTGCAACATTCCAATCGATGATTTTCTCGGGTGTGGCAGACTGCCGACACCAGGACGTCATCTCCTCTCCGTCAGCTGAGCGGCTGAGCGATCCTCCAGCAGGGCGGCGAAGGCCAAGGACGTGGACTGAACGCCACGAACGCCCTGGCGTTCGTGTACCGCCCACGCCGCGCGGGGTCCAAGCCGCTCCACGGTGACCGACTCCGGACCTCCCCAAGAAGAGTACCGTGGGAGTCAAAGTACAAAGAATGGTCTGACTATAGGTAACCCGAGTCTAGAAATGTCCAACATACTTCAGTCTTTGCATTCAGTGAATTGGTTTAGACCAGAACTGCAGAACACACAAACCAAAAACATCCAAACGAGCCCGGACATCTCTGCACCTTCACTTCTTCTCCGAGCCGTATGTTCTGGAACATGGGGTCTTCCACACCAGATATCCACCAAACAAAGAGGGCCCCGACTCAAAAGCGAAATCAGTTGGCGAGAAACGTTGGTTCTGGACCCTGACGCTCTGGGTGTGATTCTCCCTCCAACAGGCGCTACTGTATGATGAAATTCGATGTGCTCGTTCCTTGCTTCACTGTTCGGGCCCCACAGCATAAGCAATGGACAGTCCTTTTCCTTCATAGAAACCAACTCAAACATACCCAAACATACCAGGACCTTCAAAGTGACCTCTTTGGAGTCTCTGTTTGTGACCTTGTACAGATCTAAGTGACCTCATCCTGGGATATCAAAGGGTCACTTTGAAGGTCCTGGTCTTTCGTCTCGGCCGATCCGACACCGCTACCATTCTTCCACCCGCCAACGCTTTGGGTCGGGCACAACGACAACGGCGTTGGAAGGCCCATCTTCCCTTCCCCTCCTTCTTCGGATCTCCTTACTTGACATGACAACTGAGGTTTAAAACGTGGCTCAAGTGACCTCATCCTGGGATATCAAAGGGTCACGTACTGAAGGTCCTGGTAGATGGTCCGGATTTCCACCATGAGATCCGGTGTTCTCCTCCATCGCCACCCGCCTGCGCCAGCCGCTCCCGGACGGCGCTGCTGTCGCCGCCCAAGCGGTCGCCGGACCAGGCCTTGGCTGAGAGCCAAATCAAATGGGGTCCCGAAATAGACCCTACCCTAAGGGTCCAGCACCGTCCTGAGGATGTCCTTTGACCCCCCAAGACCATTCTCTGGAAGTACTTTCACCTCCAAGACCATCCTCAGGAGGTACCTGGACCCTATGGGCTAGGCCTCCAAGTCCTTCTGAGAAGATGTTTGGGGTGGGTGCCAGCAGGGTCCAGTCACTTCTGAGGAGGTACGACTGGAGGTGTAGAGGAACTGGAACAGATTCTTCGAAACCCCGAAACGCCTCGGACTGAGCCTCCCTCTCCCGTAGCTCTGCTTGCCTCACCTCCCGCCTCCTCTCCGGTGGCCCCTCCAAGCGGCCCACGCGTCGCCCCACGTCACGGCCGGACCGCCGGCCACGAAGGCGCAGAAGGCGCACTGCGCGGCCGCCACGAGCACCGGCTGCCTCGGAAGATAGAAGTCGCGGAGTCGGCGGGCGGCACGAGTGGGTGGAACTCTTAGTGATGGAAGTATAGATAGGGTTGCACCAGCAGTCACAAGACGGGGTGGTGTGAAACGTCCTCTTACGTGAGTGGATGGAGTAGCTGGGCACCCCGACTACCTCCATGGATCGCACCCCGTCTTGTGACGTGACTGCAGGGATAGGGTTGCAGGAACATATACCGGAGGTGGTCCGAAACCAGCTCGTTCCCTGGTTCTTCACCGGACCTCCAAGATGGCCGGATGCTCCTGGACCGACCTCGATGGGTCCAGGATGTACCATGTCATGAACACGGATGCACCATTAGGACACAACAGCCCAGTCATCAACGAATCGACCATTAGGACTCCATCAAATAGATGAGTTGAATGGCATCACCCCAGTGACCGAACTTGATTCCATGGTTGGTTTGAGGTCACAAAAGAGGCTTGTAAGTTCGGCCAAGTTCGGTCACTAGGACTCCAGTTCGTTCGGTCACCTGGAAGGTCCTGGAAGGACTACACTTTGCACATGGATACATTGAGGCAAACAGCACGTTGAACCTTTCACACTCACCTGGCCACAGCCACTGCTTTCACCAGCTGCTTTTTACAGACCGCGCGATGGGATTCGATGAACAGTCCATCAAGCGCGGCCCTCGCCAGAGGAACCCGCGAGAGCGCCTCGAGGGCCTCGAGCGTCGAACGGATCCACTCAGTCTGCCATGATCTTGCCTCCAGTCCATCCAGTTCGACTGAATCTCAAGCCTTTGACACATGGACAAAGGACCTCCCGCAACACATAGAGGAGCAACGCAGCCAGTAGAAGCAAGGCCAGCGCCTCTGCCCTTGCAAAGTCGCGCAGGGGCAGATCGCAACTCACAGATTGGAAGGCCTTCTCGTTGAAGAAGACCAACAAATTTCGGTACTCCCACTCATGGAAAAAGCCTCGGCCAAATCCTTGTGCCAACTGATGTGACAGAGAGGGGCAGTAGACGAAGCCTTCACGCCCAATGTGGCGAATGAGATAGCTCCTCACAATTGATTTGTAGCTCCAAGGTGCAATGCGTCTGCTTTTGTCTGTTGGACTCCCAGCTCAGGTCATTTTCGCTACCGGATGGCCATCCTAGGCCCATGTACATGTAATATATGGATATATACCAGGACCACGGAAAGGGTGGGTTTATGGACACCCCTGACTATGTATTTTCCATCCAATAACCACCCCTTCCGTGGTCCTGGTATAGATATCGATCTCTTCTTAGACCACACACCACCCCAAATCTGAAAAAAATCAAAACCGGCGTCACTCATCTGGGTTTCTAGCCATAGCAACTCTGGCTTTTCTACGCTGTCTGGAGCCCTGAAACAAGTGGGAGCATTGGAACTGTGGGGCTTGCCTCATGGGTTGGAATGCATTGCCCAAAAAAAGTGATTCGTGATTCCACCGCAGAAGTTCGTAGAATTGGCGACTTCCCAATGCCGTGACATGCTCGTCAGGAGTTGAATCGGGTCTTTCAAAAGCTGCTGAAAAGTCGGCTGCCCGAGGCTCTGCGAGTGCTCGTTCACGTGGCCATGACCTCCTTGACCAATGTAGGCCCAAGAAAGCAGAATTCCCACCTTTGCTTGCACTAAGGTCTCAATAAAATTGTGCTCGAACTTGGGGGAGATGTGCTCCTTAGATGGCACATGGCACGCAGTCTTTCTTTCTGCAAGCAAGGTTTAAAGCAAATGAAAATAAGCGTGAACAACTTTCAAGACACCTGGGCTCCAATCTGCCTCATGCGCTTTCACAGAAACAATTGTGAAAAAGGAAGGTTTTGCGAGGCAGAGTGCCTCATTCGGGCATGTTGAACCTCTGGATGGATTTCGAACACTTGAAGAGGCTCCAACATGCTCCAACCAATAGGATAACCCCAAAGACACTCCCGAAAACTCACACCCTGAGAATGGCACCCTGAGTACGACTGCTTTTCCTCCACCACAAAACCGGTGGTTTTGGGGGGATCGGCGGTCTGAAGAGCGGGGCCCCCTCAATTGGAAGATTCACGAAGCCCAGACACGACAACGTCGACTGGCAGGACGGACTGCCACCACCCCAACTGATCGGCAGTCCTATGACAGTCCCACTGACTGACTTCCGCAGTCCATCCTGGCATACATAACCACCCCAGGCAGTCCGTCCTGGCAGTCGTGTCTGGGAGCCCTTGGGGCGCACCACCACGGGGACCTCCATCCCCATGCCGATCGGTCCAGGCCGCCGCGACCTCGAAGGAGATCACATAATCCACGTCCGGAAGAGGGTAGAACTCTTCCAGGTTCCTCAATTTGTTCAGCTTTCCACGTACTGAGTCCCTAAAATGTTAAGCTGTTTGGGCAGGAACATACCATTCAACTTCCAACGACATTGCTTCCTCAACTTGTGAACGCTAGCTTTCCACATGAGTGTCAGGAGTCCCGAGTGTACTGAGTGTGCGCCGGTGGGGGAGGAACATACCCTAGGATCTTCTTCCAACGACAGGCCAAAATTTGTTGCCTTTTTCATCCATCATAATCTAGCCCAGTTGGGCAAACATTTGGCATAGTTGGAAGATCCAGGTATATAGACCCTTTGGGGGGGCTCCGACCTTCTAAGGATGTGGTTGGAGCCATTAGAAGAGTTCTTCATTCCTTTTGTCCTTTGAGTGGAGCCCAAACAAACTCAAAACGTAATGCATGTTCATGTCTGTTTCTGTCCAGCAAGGTGAACACGGATGTATATATTTGCCCTTAGATTTGCTGTCCAGGAATGAGCCACATCTTCCCCAGATTCCAGGTTCACCCAAGGAGACACCGGCAACAACAAAATCAACAAGCTGTGACAAGCTACGTTCACTCCCCCGAGAATGGTCAAAAGAAGCTTGTGAAAGCTATATAGTTTTATTCATGCTTCATATCCACTGACTGGGTAGGACAAGTGATGTCGACATCTTCTTCCAAACAGGAGATGTACAAAAACACACACACACACAGGAATGGGCCATGCGCCACGTTGTTCACCACGTGCACGTGGTGGTTCACACACGTGGTGCTTCACCGCGACGGTTCTAGCGACCCTCCAGAACGCACCCCGGATCGGATGCCCGAGGTTCCACTGCTGGTAATTGGAGCCCAAGCTCTGGATGCCTTTGTAGCCATCAAGGCCTCGCCCGGCTCCGCGGAGTCTCGGCGGCCCGCGGCAGGGGGCCGCGGCGTTGTTGGGACTGCCAGGACGGACTGCCGAGAAACAGCCAGACCCCTCAAACCACCACCCCTGGCCTGATCGGCATATATACACCATACATGGAGCGTCTTGGGCTATAGTGTCACTGATAGAATCCCAAGTATTTCGGGGTGCCTCATGATAGTCCCTACACGAGGTTCAAGGATCTCAATTAACCACCCCTGTGAAACAGGGGGTCCTCGTAGGTGATCTTATAGGTCTCCAAACAGGAATCCTTCCGACTTCCAGGAAGTGGCGGTTCGTGGAAGGATCAAACGAACCCGCTCGACCTATGGGTAGACTGACCCAACCGGTCCAATTTCATCGTCTGGCTCCAGGGCAATCGATCGAAGAAACGGAGATACAACTCTCCAGTAACTATAACTGAGATCCTCACGAGCCCATGTGCCTGGACCCGCCAGTTCGTACCTTAGAAAATGGGACATGAGTGACATGACCCGACCTAAAAAACCGGCACTATAGTACCCATGTTCTGAAGTACGAATTGAGACTCCATGTGGCGTCGTTTCTTGGTATGTCTTGGTGGACACTCCAGCTTGCCTTGTCGTGGCTCGTCGCCTCAGTGGACCCTCAAACCTGGGTTTCCTTCCTCCGACCCGACCCGGCCGGTCGGTCCCAACGACCCTGTACGTCCGAACACGCCGGCCACGCCGATGGCCTAAGCACTTCACGCCCGGCACCGTGTTGAGATTGTAGGTCACCTGAGGTGACCGGGGGAAAACGTGTTGGTGAAGCAAATCCATGCCCACTTCGCTGGTCCCAAAACACGACACGTCCCAGACACTGCCACGGACGGACTGCCGAGAAACAGCCAGACCCCCCCTGGCACCACCACCACCCAGTCCGGCCCTTTCTCGGCAGTCCGTCCTGGCAGTCCCAGACGTGTCGTGATCGGCCAAAGGCCTCGGACCTGTTCGGTTTCACTGACCGAAGGACTCGACGCGGCCATAAACCATAAAACCCATACCGGCTGGGTCTATCCTATTAGCTGGACCCAGTGGATGATGATGGGTAGTAGAGGCCTTGTCCAAAAGTAGTGATAAGTGTTTACTGGTCCTGTTACAGGTAATAGGACAGACTTAGAGGGTGTTTGGGGAGGGATTAGAGGGTCCAGGTAGAGGTCTATAGGGACCTATATAGGGAATATCAATTCCTTCCCAGACGCGACACATGGGACTGCCAGGACGGACTGCCGAGAAACAGCCAGGGGTGCTTGGTTTGGGGTCCATGTAGGCGTGGCATGGCGCGGCAAAGGGCACTCCCAAACAGGTTGTGCCATGGGAACTTGTATCCAACCCAGGCCATAGGTCGCCACCTCTTCGGAGGGTCATTCTCTTGGATGGGAACACGAGTAGACTGGCCAGTTGGGGTTAAGAGTCAACGAATCGAAGCATCGCAGAACCACTCCACCGGCCAGTGTCCATTCACTGCTGTGTGGTCAGAACTCACCAGTGGGCAGAACCCCAAAGAGCCAGAACCCTTCCAAGTGACCAAACTTGAGAGATCCCACACCCCAGCAGTCACAAAGGGGTGGTGTTTAGTCCTCAAGTGAGTGGAGTAGCTGGGCACCCCTAACCTCCATGGATCGCACCCCGTCTTGTGACTGCAGGCCTATAGAGTTAGTCTCTGAAAAAGCGGAGCACATCTCCAGAGACTCGTGACGTTCAGTTCGGTCACGAGTTCGGTTCGATTCCGCTCCGCGACTCTTCATGACGCCGTGGCCAATGGCTCGCCTCGTGCTCGGCCGCAGACTGAGTCGGCCCGGTCACCGACGCCCCACAGTCCGTCCCTTGGAGCTGACGAGGTACTTGTCCGTTGCCACAGCCCAGCTCCAGAACGGTCACGTTGCGCTGCAGGCGCCACACCTCTCCTGGCGCCACACAGGAGAGAATCATGTCAAAGCAATTAAAGAAGACGTCAGTTGTGGACTCTTGGATGAATAACCCCCCCATTTGGACCGTCAAGCCTCTTCACACACTAGGGTTTGATTCATCAAGAGTCGATATGATACAGAACAGTTATACGTATACATTTACATGTTACAGTCAATGTGTTTCTACTGCGTTATGATTGACCAACACAGTACAGCTCTACCTCGCCATTCCGCCCATGGCTCCGGCAAAGAACATGCCCAAATTCCGTTCCCGAAGGTCTCGATATCTGTGGCCCTCCACCACCTTCTCATGCGAGAAGACGCCCTGGTGTGTGGGTGCAGAGTCCACCTAAGCAGCGTTGCAAACGCACACGCGCGCGCGCGTGCGCGAACGACCAACGCTTCAAAAAGACTGGGGAATGACCGGGTCTTGATGGGTCTATATAGAGGCCAATTCTAGGCATATCCTAGTGGATCATGTCTGCTGGGATGCTCGTGAAAGCACGCGGGTTGTCTGTGTGCGCTCGTGCATGATGGCAAGCTGCTAATGTATCATATCTTGGGTCTATCCTATTACCAGCCAGTAACAGTGGATGATGATGGCTTCTAAAGGCCATGTTCAAAAATAGCGAAAATGGTCTACTGACTGTTACACGGAACAGGACAAAAACAAACACAAGCTAAATCTGTCATTTATAATGGATTTACTTGACCCCTCCGCGCAGTGAAAGTTGTAAGTTGTAACACCAAGAGTTGTACGTTGCGCCGCTTTCTGCGCCCCCGATCCACTCATGGCAGACCCAGGGCGAAAAAATGGCAATTCCGGAATACGACGAACTGCGTCACCTCAGACTCGTTTCTTTCAGACTCGTCACCTCAGTGTAGCCTGACCCCACGAAGTAGTTCACAGGTGTGAAGATGGTGGTCAAGGAGACCACGATCCAGGTGGGAGTCCGTTCCAGGCTGAAGAAACACCCCAGGCAAACGAGGCATACGAGGCCAATCCAGAGTGCTAAGTACTTGCCATCCTTGGATTTGCCAACGAGGCAAGCGTGGAAAAGTCTTATAACAAATATCCCAGGTATGGGGATTAGGGACAAACAATTGCCTGATCCACAAAACCAGGCATCGAGATGGCCTGGCTCCCTCATGGGTCTGGAGCAACGACCCTCCTCTCTTTGAGCCGAGAAGAGCATGGGCGGCCGACGTGAACCGACGGCCGATCAGCAGGCTGGTTCACCCAAGTCCCAAAGCCAGAAACTCGGCTCGGCCGCATGTTTGCATCAATACAACATACATCGCCATATTCAATCTGGTTGAAAAGGTGTCAATGTAGGCAAACAAAATACCCAGACGCTCCAAACGGCCCTTGGTCCCTCAAAGCCTAGGGATTTGAGACCCCAGACCCCTCCATATGAGATTCCTACCCCTCTATATATGACGGTCCATGAGTGTCTAGGTATAGTGTATATTAATATCTACTCCATGTATCTGCATGCCTGGAGCCTTTGGGCATGCATCGCACATCATAGCACATGCATGCCGTCCAAACCATACATTCCACATTGGACGTCTGTACGTGCAGCCGAATTCCAGCGGTGCCCTACATACGATTCTCTAAATGTCCCACATCCTCAGATGGTTTTTCAGGACTCCGTCTGTTTCGTTGGAAAATAAAGGTTCACCAACATGTTGTTCATATTGAGTGAGAAATCATGGGAAATCCATCCATCCAAAAAAGGTTTTTTCCTGGGTAGGATAAGGACCAACCATCCACTGGCACCCACCCAACCATGGCTTGGACGTGCTTGGACCATCCCTGGCAGCGCCGATTTCAAGGGCCGGATCGCATCGCGAAATAGCATGAATCTCCTCCTCCCAACAGCTGGTGAACTCCACTTCCACTCATTCTTGAGCCGTTGAAGTCCGTTCCCCTTCGTCCCGTTGCCCATGCAGTCCGGGTCCGCCAGCTCTCCGACCTGGTCCGCCCGAGTCATCCGTTGAAGTCCCAGGGGCGCCACGGCCGTCAACACCTCGCCCCCGCGCAGCCCGTTGGAGGCCACGGTGCTCTCAGGAGCCAACTTGAGTGGCTGCCCATCGGGCCCCATCCTGGACCGGGAGAACGGTTCCGGGGCTTTGGACCGAAGTGGATGGCCTTGGACATTGGGGAACCGGGGAACCACAGCTTTAAACACATGCGATATGTATGTGAGTGTTTTACATGCTTGGAAAAGGGGGTCACCATCTTCTTTGGTGTTGTTGGTTGCCCACTTAGGTGAACGCAGCACTTCCAAGCAGCCTAGGCTCTCGGCTCTCAACCTCTCCGAATCAACCTGTTGGAGGGGTGACCGTGGATTGGGGGGACTCGAAAAACCTTCCGGCTGTGGAACCGCTTGTAGGTCCTAAGCTGCTGCTGAGATTTCAAGAGGCCAGGCCGTACGAGAAGCCACGCCCATTCTTTGGATCAAAATGGTCTAAACTGCCCTGCCTTAAGGCATGCCCTGAACCATGTTAATTGACTCTGGTGCGCCGCCGGACCACCCCAACCACCACCCGCCACCAATAAAGCGACGCTGCGACGATCCAGATATACTGCGCTGAGCAACAATCTCAAAAAGCGCTTCCCCAGCTGGTGCTGAGCATCCATCTTCACATCTCGTATCCGCCAGTCCGGTAGCACCTGCCGGTCGTCCCGGTAGTCCAGTGCTGCCGGGCTACCCGGCAGCTGGGGTTGAAACCCCAGGTCCAGGAAGGGGGAGGGTGGCTCTCCATACAGGTCCAATCTGACCCGGACGGTCCAGTCTCCCTAAACACATCTAAACACCAAATCGACTGATGTCTTTCTATGCGATCAACTCCCGAAAAATGAGGACCAACTGACCTGTTCCTGAAATCAGTGGCGATGCCGGGTTGAAAAAGAATACTCATCGCCTCGTTCTCCCCTGTCCGATGAGGTCCTTCTCCCTGACTTCTTCCGACCGGCCCCAGTGCCTTGAGGGTGGTGCCATGACCACTGGGCAAGACGACCTGAAGCTCGAAGCTCAATGGATTCATCCTGCCTTCTGCGCCGATACGCGTGGCCGGCGTCTGACGCAACACCACGCAAACCCACCGTTCCCGCGGGGGGGGGGTTGGCCGGAAAAGACCGCAAATGGGCGGTAGCCCGAAGTTCTGTCTGAAACGCTGTGAGTTATATATTTGTCTATTATAGCTATAGAATATTTATGTCTAACCAGGACCCTCCTGTCGGGGTGTCCATTGGACAACCCACACTACCTATAGGCTTAGTGCCTTCGTTTCGAAGCTGGGACTGAGGTGGGTGCCAGTTGTCGGGTTCAGTCCTACCGAACCGGTTTCGAGGTACGAAGTCCGGAGCCCAAACGGGTCTTGTTTGTGGTGGAACGACCCCTCCTGTCCCCCTGAACCTCCCCGCTTCCGACCGGTGGGATCCAACCGGATCGTGTTCACCCACCCCTTGGGATTGTGGCCTCTTAGAGTGGCCTGAGTGGCCCCCCCACTTGAATTGAAAGCTTCTCAAAAAGATGGGGGGGTACATGGGTATATGAAATCAAGAGTCTACATTATAATTAAAAGCTATCGAATTTATGGGAGAGACTACGGTGACTAAGAATCAAAGACCAGGACCTTCCAAGGGGTGCCCTGTCTGGAAGCCCCCCAACCCCACCATCCAGGACCTCCAGACAGGACACCCCGAAAGAACATCTAGGTCCAGGGAGTCGATCATTCGCTGAACATCCCAACAGAGGTTGAAGCACCCTAGTTCGACTATAGGTACCCCAGGTTTTCCGGGTCCTATAGTCCCGGTCACTTAATCCAAGAGAGGTAGCCAGTGACCTGAACTAGGACCCATCACCTGGGGTACCCTGGCCTGGGATGGTCGAACGTGACCGGGTCCTGACCCACCTCTGTTGCTTCCACCGTTGGATCTCAGGGGGCGGATCACCGGCCACTGCACCGGTCGCTCTCGTGGTAGGATCCAAGTTGGCTCACCAGTATGTGCTATACGTATGTAGCCTAGGGATCCCTTCTCAGGTTCTCAGGTAGGATCCAAGTTGGCGCCTACATAAATAGTCTCCGTCCTCACCGTACCTGAGAAGGTATGTGGATCCATAGGGTGTACTATATACACAATATATAATATATGCACTATACATTGGCATGCAATGTCAAACTGCTTTTTCGTTTGCAGCTCTGCTTTACAGGCAGGCTCACATCTCACAATGATATCATGTGATCGGCAGGTCGCTGTCGATTGCAGGATGTTGCAGGCGCAACATCACGGTGTCATACCTCACAGCCTCAACTTGATAGACAGCTTCCAAGAACCAAACCCTTCGAACAAAAAAGAACACGGCGGACGCCATCGGGTCCTCCTTGGCGGTCAAGTAGTTTTGGCGCCGGCCATGGCGGTCCACCGAGGCGCGCACGAAGCGTTGCTCGTGCACCGAGGCGCGTCGGAGGCGCCACTCGTGGAGGCACGGTCGACTGGATTTACGACCCGAGGCACAACGGTGAATCGGAGTGGCACGAGTGTGGCACCAAGAAGCAGTGCTCCAAGCTGCTCACTCTGATCTGGTGAGATATGGATATATGCATGAGATTCCAGAGGTTTTTCATGACCCGAACGTTCGACTATCCCAGGCCAGGGTACCCCAGGTGACTGGTCCTATGGTCCTGGTCACTGGCTACCTCTCTTCATTGTCATATCCATTTGGGCTCTAGGTAAGTACCTTCTGAGGGACTGGGGAGGGTGCCCATGGTCGGGTCCAGTCATACCTTCGTTTCTGGAGCCTGCCCGAAATTCGGTACGGGTTGCAAGTATATACTGGTTGGAGAAAACCGGCTATTTGGGCTCTAAGAGGGGTGCTGCTTTCCTCACCCATCTTTGGTGCTGGTGTTTTCCTGGGAAGCCCGGCAAACGGCGTCGAGAGATGCGCGGCATGGCTAAGGCGAATCTGCACCGCCCAGCTCCCAAGAGTCAAATCCCGTGACTGGCCTCGAGTCGTACCGAACGGAAACGAAGGTATGACTGGCACCCGGGCCCCGGTCGTCCCACCCCTCTCAGGTTCGGTACGACTGGAGGCCAGTCACGGCAATGGATTTCTGGGTTAAGCTGGGCCTCCGCTCACATGTTCAACAAACCCAGTTGGAATGTTGATCCAAGTACCTTCTCAGGTTAGGTGATGCAGTTCGACACTGTGGGTGCCAGTCGGGTCGGTTTTGATACCGAACCGGGTCGGTCCGGTACGAGAACGGATCCCTATAGGGATGGATTTGCGGGCTGACCTCAAATCACATGTTAAAACACACCCAATTGGAATCCCTATATATGGCTTCAAACAGCTTTACATATCCCAGACACTCCATGTATGGAATATATTATTGACCCCCCAAACCACCCCAATGTAGGCATATGGTGGCATACATGGAGTGTCTGGGTATTTTACGCTACACCAGCTCAACCGTTCGGGTTCATGGTACTGAAGGCGAGGCCAAATTGCATCACCGGAGCGTGGCATCTCATGCGATCCGACGTCGAAGCATGGGTCGGGCTGCATGTGGTGGTCCAGTTCGGGTCCAGGCACCTCCGTACTTCGGATGGTCGTTGCCGGGGGTTCAAAGGACATCCGAAACGGATGGCCCTGGACCCTTAGGGTGGAGCAACAAAGGATCCCAGTCCATGATGGGCACGTTCACGTGGGGATCCCTGTCCAGTCAGTTGCACCACTTAGCAAAACCACTATAGTGAGCACGCTTTGGTCGCAGCCACGCGAAAAAATAAAGGGATTTCGTGTCTACCCGATCTTACAAGGATGGGGACAGAAGTCCACTCCATGTGATGCGTGGTGACTTGCTGTGTCGAACTCGCCCGAACTCGTGGGATGAACACCACCATCGTCCCCAACACCGTCGGGTCGTCCGCATCAGCACGCCTCAGCTGGCCTCAGCTGGCCGTCGGTGAATCACCCGACGGTGAAAACCGAGTGAAGACGTGAAGCTGTCAGCAGCTCTTCAGCAGCCCCAGACACGCATGGGACTGGAATAGGACTGCCGCCCCAGAAAGACCCCCCTGGCACCACCCCTGGCCTGATCGGCCAATATGGCAGTCCCAAGGAGCGTTTGGAAGCTATTCATCGGAAAAAAAGGGCGTGGAGCACCAAGTTGAAGCTGAAACACACAAAAAAAAACACCCGCTGAATCCAGACCCGGTGTCCATCCGATCGGTGTCCATGTCTCCTCCGGTCCTCCATCCGACCGTGAAGGACGGGCAATGTGACCCCCCCGGTCAGCCTGGTCAGCCCACGGGTGGAGGTGGCAACGAGACAGTCCAAAGAGTCCATCGTTAACAGGGACCCCAAAGCACAGCAAGCACAGCAAGCAACTGCAAGCTTGCAGATGTGAGCACCAAATCGATTCTGGATGGATCGTTGGATCTCCTTGTCCTGCATCGCAAGATCTATTTTGTACTTCGCTGAGGATACACTTCTTCGCAGCATATCGGCCGTCGAATTGGACTGCTTTGTTTGCTCAAGGAGACCAGGAAGTGAAAAACATGGGATTAAATCTGTTCATTGATCATCTTGAACGAACAGAAAAAAAAGACAACAACATGAAGCTTCCTTCCCAAACCGTTTTCCACATCTTTCGATGTCTGCGCTTTCCACATCTTCTCTCCGTTGACCTCCTCGTTTTCCCACTTCTCGGAGCTCCCGGACGGCGGCGCAGAGGGCAAGTCCTCTGGAGGAGCCTGACGGCGGATGAAGAACACCAGGCGCATCCTCTGAGGGTGCGACGGTCCATGACGAAGTACTTCCCCACATGGCCAGTACTTGTTCCAGTCACATGGTCGGGGCGCTATCCCAGCTTCTTCAGTTCGTGACCGAACTTGAAGGATTCCTATATTTTCGTGACCCGAGTCCAGGAGGCTTGTTCGACCGTGACCGAACCAACCAGGTGATCAAATTCGGTCACGTACTGAAGAACCAGGTCGATGGACTCACTGTCACTATACTATCCCTAGGGATCCGTTCTCGTACCGGAATGACCCGGTTCGGTACGACTGGAGCCGACTGGCTGGCGCTGTCTCATCACAGTGTCGAACACAACATTGTCTGACAAGGTACGACTGGATCCCTAGCCCAGTGTATCCCAGCTACCACTAGATAAGGAACCAGGGATTCGTTCGGTCTATGGTTTTGGTCGAACTGGAACCACTGGGACTCCCAGCTACAGTGGTAACTGCATGCCCTGGGTAGGGTAGAAGGATGTCCAGTCTGACCAGGTTTGACTGGGTCAGGCTGGACTTCTTTCCGGACACCTCCGCAGAAACCCTCTGGAGGCTTCCAGGTATCTTTCGTGGACGAGCTAGGCAACCATAATAGCTCCTCCGGAATTCTTTGGTGTGCCAGTTCCACCCGTCAGGAAGCTCAACGTATCTCTGCGAAGCTTCCACCCTTGGGGGTCATGTCCATCGCGTGTCCCGTGGATGGTGAATCCGTACATTGAAGAGACTCCAGCTTTGCAACAGAACACACACACAACCACAAACACCCTCATATGTTCTGTCAAACAAGCAGAATTAAACACACACTTGAGAGAGGAAATTCTTCCAAACCCCGCCCCTTAAAGGCAATCCATGTCCCAAACAATTCAATGGGGACTGGAATACGTACATGCCGAAATGGCTAGACCCCCTTTTTCAACCCCAAAAACCCTCCCCCTATCGTTCTGGTCATCTCTGGGAGTTGAACGAAGGTGTTCTCGGAGTTCTCCCGTGTCCCACCCCAGGCCTCGGGTGGCTGCTCCGGCGGAGGCCTTGCCGGACGGATATAGTAAAATGATGTAAAATGCCTGCAGTCACAAAGGGGTGCTTAATGGAGGTTAGGGGTGCCCAGCTACTCCACTCACTTGAGGACGTTTCACACCACCCCTTTGTGACTGCTGGAAAATGGATACAAATTGATCCTTTCAATATTGCAGACACTCCATGTATCCCAGACACTCCATGTGTGCAACCGATGGCCGCTTCTGAAGGCCTCCAAAAGAGTGATGGCAAAGGGATCACGCTGGTTTCGCCCCTCCCCTACTACCCTACCCTACCCTATACACATGGCCTACAAAGGGATCTCCAGACAGGACACCCCTTGTAACTTCAAGACCGGCTGCATGGGGAAACGCTGCCGTCCTTCGTCACTGCTGCTGTCGTCCTTCTGAAAACGTGCCCATCCATCTTCACTTTCTTCGATTGAACTGCAGTGGATTTGAAGAGGGAGACCCTCAAAACCCCGGTGTTCTTGTGGGCTTGCCTCTATTCAGCAGGAAGTCTGACTTGGTGGAATCAAACATTGCACCAAGTTGTTTCAAAGGTTCAGTTGTGTACGACAAGAGATGACAAGAGTGAAGTAAACACTCAAAAGTAGTGGTTCGTGCTTCGCCCTACTCGCGGGCGCTCCCTGGAACAGCTAAAAGGCAAACGACTTTCCACCAGCACCTTCATGTCGGGGTCTCCAATAGACGACTCCCTGCACAACGTACAGGGATCTCAGTACCCCGACATGAAGGTCCAGGACCCTGCAGATCCACGTCCCGGATGAGCTCGTCTCTGGGCGCCCCCGACTGAGGAGCTACTTCGGCCTCCACAGTGCACAGTGCAGAGCAAACCAGCGGATGGCGTCGAGACGCATGCAACTTTGGTGTGCTTTGCATGGATAGCCCCTGACCCAATACAGTTGTGGGGTAGTCCGAACATTCCAGTCTCCCAGGAAATGGGAGGCCTCCCAACAGTTTAGCCTACACTCTTCCAGATTTACACGTCCCAGGGTGCATTTGGGACTAGCCCCTAACATGTCCGGTGCTGGTGTGACATTTCCCAGGAACAACCGAGAAAAACGGTGTCATAATGATTTTAACAATGACCACAAAATCACTGAAAAACTGCTAACCTGTCCCAGGACAAACCGTGTGCTGATTTTCACCACAGTCTATGTTAGCATGTTTTCTCGACAAATCTCAAGGTTTCTGATTTTCATGAACGGACATGTTAGCATTGTTGGAGGGAAAACCTACCCTTGCCAATCACATCAAACTTGCCAAAGTTTAGCATCTTATACTATACACCAAGACTTGAGTCCAGATACACAGTCTAAAAAGGGGCCATAGAACAATACTCAAGGCCGCTAACCTGTCCAAATCACATCTTTGCCAAAGCCCTCAAAATAGCTAACCTGTCCCAATCACAGGTTGCCCAAAGCAACCTTTGAGCCGCTAACATGTCCCACTGATGGGCCACGCAACTAACTTAACCAAAAAAAAGCCTTTAGAGGGATACGTAAAAAACCGGGAGAGTACTAGTGACAGCAACACCGGTCTGCATATGCATTTCAGGTTCAAACATGTTCAAACATGTTCAAACACTTCTGTCCCCTATTTCACACCCATATCACATACCTGGACCTTCTTTCGGGGTGTCCTGTCTGGAGGTCCCGGATAGTGGTGGGGTTGGGGGGCTTCCAGCCAGGGCACCCCTTGGAAGGTCCTGGTACTGTTTCACTTCTGTTCTCGCTTGCGTCTATAGACCGTTCGGACGCCACGTTTGACGACGCCAGGCACGCCACT